GGATAGTGGGGGGAGAAGACCAAATATTTGCTGATGGCCAGGAAAGTCAAAGAAGGTGCCATGACAGCAGTGGGACTGCACATTCAGCCCTTGAGCCCCTGGTGGCCAAAGGAGTCCCGGCTTCTTTGGTGCCTGAGCCTGAGTCTCTGAAGAGAGGTCGCGATTCCCAGAGCTCAGAGGACCCCTTGAATAAGAGATCGTGCTCCTCTTGTGCCAGCTCCTTGGCCAGCACATACACATGTGGCATCCCTGTCCGCAGCCGCAATGCCATTACCAGTTCCTACAGCTCTACCCGAGGTTTCTCACAGCTCCAGAAGAGACCCCAGTTCCTCACCTTCTTCAACCCGCTCCCAGACACAACAGAGGCCAGCAAAGAAAGTAACAGGAGAGGAGCCAGGACATCATTCCAGGTCTTCAACTCCACCAGTTACAGACAAGGAGTCCCAGGGAGAGAAGGCTGCAGACACCACCACGTGGAAGGAACAAAACTCCTGGAGTTCCCCATCTACACCTGGCAGCTCTAGGCCACGAAAACACAAGTTACAGCTGCTGCCATCGAGGCGAGGGGAACCGCTGACTTTGCCTCCACCTCCCCAGCTTGGCTATTCAGTCACTGCTGAAGACCTGGACTTAGAAAAGAAAGCTACATTCGATTGGTTCAACAAGCTTTTGGGGGACACGACTGATGCTGCCTCCAACTATGCCTCTGAAACCCCAGCCACTATGCAGCCTTCATTTACTTTTACCCCATCTCCTGCGGAGACTGCGTCCTCCATGGCCTCTCTCCTAGATGCAAGCAGTAACCCACTGTGCAGAGCTGGAATCAAATGCAGAGTCCCCCAAGCCTCCCATCCTTCCCAGAATCTGCTAGACTGGCAACCACCCAGGACCATCCATCTCCAATGACACACAGCCTTCTGGCTGGAATGGGCTTTTCACAGTCAGGGCCCCGTCCAGACACTACTATAGACCCCACTTCCACGGTCATGCCCATGGAGCTGGACGTGGCTTCTTCCAAGATACCAGTCACTGACACCAGGTCACCGGTATCCCTTCCACCTGAGACACTGACCAAATCCCAAGCCCTATCTGCCCCATCCTCCATCCCCAAGCAACGATTTCAGTTTGGCATGCTGAGCACCCCACCTTCTAACCCTCCATCTTCTGCGGCTCCTGCTGGGGCTTCCTCATCTCCCCTGTGCAAGCCTCATTTTATGGCCCCACCTAGCAGCCAGAAGGAAGACCCCCAGCTATCCGTGCATTCATTCTTCAGCACGGCACACTGTAGCTCAACCCTGCCCAAGACCACCTGCCCCTTGGTCCTGACCTTCCAGCCTATTTACAGCAACAGGGACCTGCCGCCTTCTGTGCCTTATTCAGCTCCCTTCAAGCACACAACTACTCGGGCCAGTGCTCCAATCGCAACTCCTCCTCTCTTCATTGTTTCGGCCACTGCCCCCTCTGCAGTGGCATCTATCAGCACAGCTGCTACTTCCACAGACCCTGCTTTGAAGCCTGCTTTTGGCCATGGCCTCAGCAGCATGAGCAGCACCAGGAGCACCGTAAGGAGCAGGGTGAGCAGCACCAGGAGCAGGGTGAGGAGCGCCACCCCTTACACTGTGTGGCCCTTTCTGTTTGGGGCACACTCTGCCTCCGGTGACAGCTTTATGCCAGCCAAGGGCTCCATCTTCCAGGTTGGCAAGTGCACTTCCAAGTGTGCATCAAGCACAGTCACCACCTCTGCTCCCAGTGCTGTTCAGCCAGCCAGCAGCACCAGCTCTGGCAGCTTCTGTAGATTTGGACGCACCCTACCACCTCAGTCCCAGCCCCCACCAGCCAGCCAGGACTGACAACCCCCTCAGCAGTTAACATTGCCTTTGGCTCAAACCACAAACCTCCTCTCCCATCACATGTGGGAGCCAGTCCCCAGCCTGCACATAAGGCCACTGATGGGCAACGACACCAGGCTACCAAGCCAGGCCCTGCCCCAAGCTGTGGCCACAGTCTGGCAAACAGAAACTCTGCAGTCCTGGCCCTAGCTAAAAAGCCAAGACCAATGCCACGCTGGCCAGTCTTTCACAGTGCCACAAATTCAGCTTTTAGAGGTTTGGCCACTGTAGCCTCTGCCTTTGGCACACCCGCCAGCACTCAGCCAGCCATTGTTAGCACCATGGCTATTTTCTCCACCCCCAGCTCTGGAGTCACAAGCCAAACCAGCAGCAGAGGCCCTATTAGTCCAATGTCTGGCCCCTTACCATTGGGAACATCAGCAGCCCCACTTGCCAGTGAAGATGTGGAGATGAGAGAGGATACCTCCAGTGCGACCTTCCACCAGAACACCACCACCACTGCAGTGGGCACTTCGGGCAGCAGCCTCTCCTATGGAGCATCCTCAACACCCAACCAAGGCTTTGTTGGAGGTGAGTTTATCGTGTCTCCAGTTCCTTCACTTCCCACTGGGGCAGGATCCAATGACCCAGGTGCTCAGCCACGAGTACAGGCCAGAAGGAGGCTCACCTCTGCAAAGTTGCCTTGATCCCTTGACCCTGATCTCCCAACATCTTTCCCCAATCCGGACCATGGCACCTACTAGGAAGGGCCTTGTACCCTTCCAGTTACATGAAGAACATATGCTCCCGATGTTTGGATTCAGCCACCAACAGGGTAGTGGCATCCCTATGCCCTTTGCCTTCTCCTGTGGGCAGCACCTGCCTTGGGGGAAGGGAAGGCTGCTTACAGCAGGACAGAGCCAGGGACCTTAACTTGGACAAGCCCACTGGTGAGGCTGCAGAACATTCTGCACATTCAGTTCACTCACTTCCCTGACTCTTGCTTAGTGTGTAAGCTTCCTCAGGTGGCCTCCCTGCCCACCTTTCTGCTGACAGCCATCTTTGCTGGCAGCTATAAGGTGCAGCCCACTTGGATGTCTGTGCATTTTGATAGGATCAGGAAAGTTTTCTTATCCCTAAAACATTTCATGACTTGGCTTGGCTCTCAGAAGTGGCTCTCTTCCTCGAGTTCCCTTAGGGGACTCTTTCTCCATTTCCTGCTGCTTTGTCCCTTGTCGGACTTTATCACAGTGTGTGCTGCCTTTGCCGGTTTCCTCCTACCAATCCTGAGTCAATGTCTCATCTCCAATCCTCTCTGCCAGTTGGCCCCTAAAAGCTTGGTTTCAAAAGACTGTTAGCATGGCAGAGCCAGGGGTGAGCTACTTCCCTCCATGAGAGCAAAGCTCTTAGTGCAGGCAGGACACCCAGGCCAGCTGTCAGCTGCCTCCTGCCCCACCTCCCTAGTGGCCTCATCAGGCATTGCCTGCCTCTCCAAGATTTTATGTGGGTGGCCTTGTCCTGTGTTACTTGTCTGATGCTCCTGCCTGTTTGAGGATGAATTGAATTATATGAGTGGCAACATGTTGGGACTTAACTGCTTCAAGTTTTCTGCAGCCCAGCTAACTGAAGGTGGACAGTAGGACCACTGTATGGCTGCAAGTGCTGACTCTGAATTTCAAAAGGTGTTTTACCTTTAAGGGCTGGCAGACCTGAATGGTAGGGGTGGGGAGGAGGGGAGGTAATACCTTCCAGTAGATAGCTGATTACCCATAAACTTGAAGCAGTTAACCCGGCACTCCCAACATGCCACCACTCATACAATTCAATGCTTCCTCAAACAGTCATAGGCATGAGCATCACACAAATACCACAGGACAAAGACACCCACATAAAATCTCAGAGAGGCAGGCATTGGCCCCATGAGGCCAACAGGGAGGTGGGGTAGGAGACGGCTTACAGCAGGCCAGGGTGTCCTGGCAGCTCTAACAGCTTTGCCCTCACAGAGGGAAATAGCTCACCCTGGCTCTGCCATGCTAACAGTCTGGAGCCACCGAGCCCTCAGGGGCCAACCTGGCAGAGAGAATCGGAGATGAGACATTGACTCAGAAGTGGCAGGAGGAAAATGGCAAAGGCAGCACACACCATGGCCTCCAAGATAAAGGTAAATTCAAGATCACTTTAAAACAATTAAATCCTACAAGGGACGAGGGAGTATTACCCTCCACTTACGAGACCCCACTGGAGGCTACATAACCCATAGTCTAAGTTACAAAACTGACCTTAATGAGCCATGTTTTCAGGTTGTATCTTAGTTATTTTCCCTCAGAGAACCCTGTCCAGTCATTTCCCCTTTCCTGCTTTATACTACAACAACATGCCCAGGCCCTAGAGCCCCAACTGTCATGCCCATCCTCTTTGGGAGAAGGGTGAATGCGACTGCCATGTTTTAATAACATAAAATTTAGCTTTCTATTTATGGGAAATTTCCTTCAAGCTTAGTTAATGGAGGTGATTAAGTAAAAATTCTATTGACTAGAAGTGGCTGTATTTAAGTTGTGCCTTCTGGACACATTCGATAAAACGTAATTCATATTTTATAAATAATGTGATGTAGATGTAACTGGTTCCCTCCAGCTTAGTGACTGAGGTTGAATGTTTTGTGGCTGGGACGGCTCCTCTGCACCCCCAGAAGAGCTCTGAAATCAGAGGTGGAGCTAAGGAAGCAGCCTGAACCTCCAATCCCAAATGCTGTCAGGTTGGAGGGGTGGAGGTGGGCTGGGTGTGGACGTCAGCATCTCACTGCACCTCAGGTGACAGAGATTCCCCCTTAATTTCAGTACTCTGAGTGAATTTACCACAGTCTGCAGGCAGGACAGTGGCCCAGAAATGCCCCAAAAGTGGTCGTCCTGGCAAAGTGTGAATGTGAGTGTGAACCTGAACGCACCCTGGACAGGAACGGAGGCTCAGACTTTCAATTACATGTAAACACTAAATTCTTGTTGAATCCCCTTGGAAATTTTTTAATGAATGTAAGACTTTTTTCCTGCTTATGTCATTCAAAATAAGAAAAACCTGTGATCCAAAAGAAGAAAAAAGACTTAGTTACCAGCTCTCTCCTGAATGATAGCACCCAATAGGAATCACAGGTCTTACAAGGCCTCTGTCACGGGAATGCCCAAGAATAAAGGTAAAGAAGGTAAAAACAGATGCGAGGGTAAGAATGAGAAGGAGTCTGAAAAAGGAGAATTGGTATTGAAAGAAGATTGGCAAGAGTATGCTCAGGTAATAAACATGTTGGGAAATGGACAATTCAAAGCAGTGTGTTTTGACGGTGTAAAGAGGTTAGGCCATATCAGAGGAAAACTGAGAAAGAAGGTTTGGATAAAGACCTCAGACATCATATTGGTTGATCACCGAGACTATCAGGATAACACAGCTGATGTCATCTTAGTGTACAATGCAGATGAAGCTAGAAGTCTGGAGGCCTATGGTGAGCTTCCAGAACATGCTAAAATTAATGAAACAGATACATTTGGCTCTGGAGATGATGATGAAATCCAATTTGATGATATTGGAGATGATGATGATGAACACATTGATGATATTTAAAGTGAACTCAATGTTTTCCATTCCAACTTTCCTGAGGATTGTTCTACATTTGGGATTTTGGCCATCACCTGTAAAGGAGACTAAAATTTGGGGGCACATACTAATTTGGAGTATAGTTTGTTAAAACTATTTTTGTTTTAAGATATTTATTATATTTCTTTAAAAGCTGAGGATGCTGAATTATCTTAAGTGAAATGTTAATACCTTTTGTCTTGATGTATTAGAATTTAGGGTTCAAAAATCATAGTAGCTGCTGTTCAGACAACAACAAAAATACCTGTATTTCTGTGACCACCAACAAAATATGGATGTTTCCATAGAATGCTTTACAGTTATCATGGAAGCCCTACTTCCAATTTATCTTTTTATTAGAGAGTGGTTCTGTATATTCCAGTTACCTAGATGTTCCTTGGAGACTTTTGATACAGTTTAAGGAAAATGGCTAAATATCTGCATTTGGAATCAGAAAAAAACAGGAATATTTTTCATATTTATGTACCTGTATGTATTTTATCCTATCTTTGATACCTTACACATTTTTTCAACATTTATGTTGCCATCATCCTGAAGAAATAAAAGCACTTCCAAAAGGCAGTTTTTTAAATCATAATTTTATAACAAATTTTAAATGTGTAAGATAAATAGTCAGAAATTGAACTCTTGGTAATAACCAACATTGGGAATATTGATATATTAGTGGACAATGTTGCTTCTTAATTTGCATGGAAGTTGATGGTAGGGTACATAAAGCTATTTTTGACTATTCAAAATAAGTTATGTGAAAAGATGTCATTTTCTTTTTAAATGTATGCATTGTAACCCTCAGTTTCAAGCTGTATAAAAAATTAAATTGGAATGTATTTGTGAAAAGCTAATTTTGTAATAAATTCTACTTTGTCAAATTATCCCTATTTGGGACGAGGGAAGGGAGCAACAACTAAAAGATGGGTTCTCTTTCCTAAATGGGAAAATCTCAGCAAAGCAATATAATAAAGTCTTATGTTGAGTACAAAAAACATAAAAAATGAAAATAAAAGTAAAAAAAGAAAAAGATAAATACCCACTAGAGGTTCAGGGAATCCCAGGGCCACCCTCACTTCAGACCAGCTGGCTACAAATTTGGGGGTTCCCTCAACCAGCTTTTTGGTTGATAATTCACTAGAATGACTCACAGAACCCTGGAAAATGTTATATTTGTGAGCATAGTTTCTTAGAGTGAAAGGATACACATTAGAACCACAGAAGAGACACTTAGAATAGAATCTGGAGCAAGTCCAGATGTGAAGTCCCGTGTCCTGGGAACACATTCCCCTCCTAGTATCAACAAGGTGAGGCAGTACACACAGAGTCCCGCCAACCCAGGAAGCTCAGCCGAGCCTCAGGTGTTCAGGCTTTTTTGTGAACTTGATCACATAGTGTTTGAGTGGCTGACCATTAGCCTTCAGCCCCTCTGGAAGTAAGATGTCATACGGCATGTCCCCAATTCCCCAACATACATCACCTTCTTAGACTGTCTGATGACTAAAGCCCCCAGGCAGATAATGATGCTCTGATGAGGCAGGACACTCCAGGGACCTGAGATTCCCTGCCAGTAGCTGAAGCCAGAGATCAGATATCTCTTTAGGTGAAGAGAATTCTTTGCTCCCCACTGCCCTGCCTGTACTGGGGAAGACCTGTTCACCATAAGCTTGCTTGCCCTGTGTAGCTGCCATGACACTATCCATAAATATCCTGGTGTTCCTCTCCTTCCAGGCCGTGGTGGGTTTATGCTTCCTTCCTTAAGCCCTCTGAAGACAGCTGTGCCCTAATGACTTGCGTTAGTAGAGGAAATGTAAGAGGAAGCGATGAGAAGGCAGAAACTTCAGAGTCAACAGAGGTTCATGACGTTCCATTCCCTCATCTCAAAAGCCTGTGGAACATGTTGGGATGAATGACCCATGAGCCTGGCTCCCTGAGAAACTAGGAATAAGAACCCCATGCCAACCTTTGATACACTGCCCACATTAGTGAGCAATAACCCTTTGTTGTGTTAACCGGCTAAGGTTTGGGGATTTTTTATGGTAGCACAGCTTATCCTGGTACCCAGATATTACGCTGTGATGGATCTTAGGCAAGTTCTTTAGCTTCCCTCTGCCTCAGTTTTCTTCTTATAAAAAGGAGACAGTAAGACCTGCCTTTTGAGGCTATGGGCAGAATAAATGTTACACATTGTAGTAGTTGGCTAGAGAAGTCATAACAAAGTACTACGGACCTAGTGGCTTAAAGGATTATTTTCCTAGAATTCTGGAGGCTGAAAGTTCAAGATCATGGCAGCAGGGCTGGTTTCCTCTGAGGCCCTCTCCCTGCCTTGTACACGGCTGTCTTCTTCATCCCTCTTCACATAATCATTCCTTTGTGTGTGTCTGTGTGTTCATGTCCTAATCTCCACCGTGTATAAGAACAATAGTCATGTTGGATTAGAGTTCACCCTAATGACCTCATTTTAACGTCAATACCTCCTTAAAGGTCCTATCTCTATGTACAGTCACATTCTGACATACTGAGGGTTAGCATTTCAACATACCTTCAGGGGGACACAGTTCAGCCTATATTACATGTGGAAAATAGTTCAAGTAGAAGAGTACATGACACAGCAAATTTTCAAGTCAGTTAGTGATTATTGTGATTGATATCCTAATCTTTGATCAATCATACTGTTGAGAAAATATGGTCAAGACTTACTTTTTCCTGAAGAAAGTTGATAAAAACTATGTTTGATATTATCCCTAGTTAATGAATATATTACAAACAAATAGTCATGTATGCTTAGGAACAAAACATTTTAAAAATACAAACAAGCAAAAAAATACTAGAAGAAAGAGTAGGGAAAACACTTGAAGAAATCAGCCTAGGCGAACATTTTATGAGGAAGACACCCCAGGCAATTGAAGCAACATCAAAAATACACTATTGAGACCTGATCAAACTAAAGAGCTTCTGCACAGCCAAGGACACAGTAAGTAAGGCAAGCAGACAGCCATCAGAATGGGAGAAGATTTTCGCAGGTTATGTCTCTGACAAAGTTTAATAACCAGAATCCATAGAGAACTTAAACGTATTAGCAAGAAGAAAATGAGTGATTCCCCATCTCAGGGTGAGCAAGGGACTTGAAGAGAAATTTCTCCAAAGAAGACCAGCATATGGCCTACAGATATATGAAAAAATGCTCACCATCCTTAATCATCAGAGAAATGCAAATCAAAACTACTCTGAGATATCATCTAAC